CATAATGATGTTGCAAGCATAACGATTGCAAATTAATCTTTACGGAAAATTAGTGGAGAAATGAAGATAGAAGAACAGAAGTGAAATATAAGAATTTTCGAAGAGGGTAATTTATGATTATTATAAATGAATTGAAGATGGTAATTTGTGATTGTCACTTTCTTTTCTTTAGGTGCTAGGGTTGGTTATTTTCTAGTTTTTAATATGTAAATTTTATAGTTTAAAATATTAATTTTGTTCTCCATTTTATTAATGTCAAAGAATTTTTTTCAAGTTGAGTTCATAATTATTTTAGACTCGATTTTAATAAATATACACAGTGTTAAAAACTGAATAAAAATTTAATCTATGTCGAGAAAAGATTTTCTCTGCGTAGAATTTGCTTTTCGTTAGAAAACTTAGAAAGATTGAAAAACAGTTGTAATCGAACTTTTTTTAATTTATTAATAATATGATTGTATAGATTAAATAAAATAAATCAATCATCCTCGATAAGCTTAATAAAATTTAATAATTATTATTATTTTAAAACACAGAAAATAAATAGTAAAATAAAAGAATTTTCTTCATTTTTTGTTGGAATTAAATTTATATATATATATATATATATATACATATATGAATTGAAAGAAGCATGAGAAAAAAAAAATGTTAATTTGATCCAAAAATAATAATATATGAACTGGGCAGATGGTGGACAAGAACAGGCATGTAATCAAGTTTTGATTTTAAAGCTTCTGGTAACAGGTGGGTTTTCTGGATTTTCAAGTCCAGAGCTTCTTCTCCAGCATTTCATCCACTGTCCCAACCAGATCAAACAGATTCATTCCCTTCTTATCACCCGCGGCTCTCTCCTCAACCACACTTCTTCATGGAACACCGTTCTCATTTACAACACTCTCATTTGATCTTATCTCTCTACGGGACTCTCTCGTACTTCTTTACTACTTTTCACCCGCATGATTTCACAGGGACTTTCACCAAACCATCTCACTTTCCCATCTCTAATCAAAGCTGCTTCTTGCTCTCCCTCATCTGGCCCAATTCTCCATGCTCATGCTCTCAAATGGGGTGTTTTATGCGACCCATTTGTGCAAACTTCATCCGTGAGTGTGGACTCCGAAGTGTGTGACATACGCACTGCACGTAAGATGTTTGTGGAAATTCCTCATCCATGTATTGTAGCGTGTAATGCTTTACTTGACGCTTTTGGGAGGAATGGACACATGGGTTCTGCGAGGAATGGAGACATGGGTTCTGCTTTTCTGTATTTCCAGAGCATGCCCGAGAAGGATGTGGTTTCATGGGCGAGTGTTATTAATGGGTTCGTGATGAATGGACTTGATGCATTGCGGATTTTTGCAAAGATGATGGATCACGAGGATGTGGTCCGCGGTTCCGTGAAGCCTAATGAGGCTACATTTGTTACTGTGCTGTCTTCTTGTGCTAATTTAGATGGAACTGGTCTTTATCAAGGGAAGCAGATACATGGATATGTTGTTAAGAATGGGTTCAGTTTGAGCGCTGTCGTGGGGGCTGCGTTGGTAGATTTGTATGGAAAGGCAGGTTGTTTGGAGACTGCAAAAAGAGTATTCAATCGGATAGAGGTTAAAGAGGTTTTCACTTGGAATGCAATGATTTCTTCACTTGCCTGTCATGGCAGGGCGAAGCAAGCTCTATGTATGTTTGAGACGATGAAAGTGCAAGGATTTTGCCCCAACGAGGTTACCTTTGTTGCTATTCTTATTGCTTGTGCTCGAGCTAAACTTGTTGACTTGGGTTTGAAGTTGTTTCCGTCAGTGTCAAGTCCATATGGGGTTGTACCAATAATGGAGTATTATGGCTCTGTTGTTGATCTCTTGGGCAGAGCAGGCCTTCTGAGAGATGCAGTTGAGTTTGTACTTTGCATGCCCTTGCTGCCTGATGCCTTTGTTTTGGGAGCTCTTTCTGGTGCTTGTAAGATTCATGGGGACGTTCAGTTGGGAAATGAGGTAGGAAAGAAGCTCAGTTGGGAATTACGGCCAAAACATTGTGGACGATATGTGGTGTTGTCAAATATAAGGGCTGTTGGGGAAAGGTGGGGAGATGCTGCTAATTGGAGGAAAGTGATGGCAGAGTCTAAAATCAGAAAATTTCCGGCATATAGTTTGATTGGCTACATCAAAGTTGATTCACTAAGCGGATAATTTGTCTATTAATCAGTTACTACATGTTTGTGCACCAGATAACATTACACAGAGGTCATTTATCAAGATTTAGAAATACAAGTTCAACAATGTTGATGAGGGGATTAGTAAGATAAAAAGGAATTATATGCTTTATAGGAGTTCTTGTTGTTCCCGATGACGTGGATGACTCGGGACATTTAGATAAAATAATTAGAATGCTAGAATGGTTTTCCCCTGGAAGCAAAATCATTATAATTAGGAATCACCAGCTTTACGTATTTTTAAATCTGAGCATCTTTGAGGACTAATTTTTTGTTCATTGATTCTCATATTTGCTTGACTTTTTTGCAAGAGCAATACACAGAGAACAAATAGTCAGAAAGAGATAAAGAATTGCATAGAGAAGCTCATAGCGTACAGAGTGGAGTTTGCTGGGGCTCTTTCTTGCCCGCGTTTGGTGTGAATGTAACCAAAGTTAGGTATGAATTTTTATTAAAACTTTATATTACATTAAAATATTAGGTACAATAAAATTAAGACTGAAAATTCTTTTTTACAAAAAAAAAGGTACAAAAACATATTTTTACCATTGCTGAATTTTTTTAGAAAAAAATAGGAAGAAGATGTATGCTAACGAATTAACAACGTACCCACCTGATCTTTCTCTTCTAACTATCTCAACAACAGGCTCAGGCATGTCATACACAGGATTTTGAACCATATATTGCTGATACATTGACCTACTCGTGATTATACCTTCGTCTACTTGAGGGAATTTTGAATGGATGAATTTACTTTCTTCTACACCTTCTGTTTCATCAGCTTGAATCTGATATGAGAATTGATCAGGCCATGGCGGCAATGGAGGAGCTGAGGACTGGACGGAGGAGCATGAACAGCAACAACACTGGTGCATCGGAACAGGGTAGTGGGGCTCCTCAAGGTACTTCCTTTTCTTCTTGGATCTTGACCAGATTTTGAGCTTCTTCACAGCCTTCATCATTTTCATGGTAAAACCTAGATAGATTTTCAGAAAGAAACAAGGACTTGTAGGGTAAAGTGATTTTTTTTAGAAGAAGATACATCCAAATTTTTTTCAACTTTTTGGACCGTTGGCTCTATACCATCATAAGTAAAACAACTGGCTGAATCACAAAGTTCAATTCTCATATGGTTTGAACATGGTTTAGGGTAACAATAGATGGAGTCTTGAGTGAATTTTACAAACTTTGATTTCGGTATAGTTTTATAATTTTAAAATATAAAACTTTATCGAATCCGAGTAGGTTTTAAAATTTAATTAAATTTTTTATCCAATTAGATTTCTGACTAAATCAATTTCTATTATATATAAATATATTATTTAAATTAAATATATATTATTATAAAAATATATTTTTAATTTAAGTCATCCCTAGAATGATTATGCGATAAAATCTGTACCGGTAAGCTTAAATAAATAAATTTCTTGTTCGTTTGGCTTAATTCATATATTTAGTAAAATATTGATTTATGTCCGTTAGGTTTAATTTTTACCCGAACATTAATCTATAAAATATTTTTATGATTTGATATATTTAATAATAAATTTTAAATATATTTTATTTTTTTTTTATTTCTTCAACTGAAGAAAGAAATTAAAAATGATAGTGATTATAAATGTTGATATCTTTTTTTTAAAATAAAATACTGATATCTTTATATTATAATAAATAAAATTTTGTTCTAAATATTTTTTAAAAAATAATTAATTAAATACTTAAAACTAATTAAGAACCCAAATAATAAGTAAGAGCTATTTAATTTAAAATATAAAATAAAATTAACTCTTAATTCTAGTTAATTTGGGAGATTTTTAAGTTTGGGGTTGATTGGTCGAGTATAAAATATTTGTATGAATTTTTCTTTTTTAATCTCATAGTTGATGACTATAAATATTGATTCCGTACACATTTACTTCATCATTTAGGGGATGATAAGAATTAAAC